TGCTAATTTCTCTTCAAAATTGTATTTTTTTCCGTGAAGAAGTCACTCCTATTTGTCTCTCTCCTGCTTCCATTCGTTCGTCACGAACACAGTTTGGCACTCGGGGACACAGAAACGGTAGGCGTGCGCATATTGAGCTTTGGGGTAAAGCAAGGTCTCGGACGTGAACTCGACTGCTAACGGGCGGCTCCCACGGCGTTTCCTTCAACACGTTTATTATGCATAAAATATTCCTTCTTTCATTTGCTGTCGGACCCTTCATTGCCTTCTCTATCTGAGCCGGATAGCCAGTGGATTGATTGTGTCGTGAGTTAGACAGGTTGGTGTCGTATGGTATAAGCTGTATATAGCTCTCACCATTAGAAGCGTTCGCAGTTTCAGATTCGTTTTTCCCGCCGCCACTGCTCCAATAAAATTTAGCTACAGATAGTAACACTAGATAGTATCAACATTTTCGACTGTGCGTTTGTTTTTAACCTTCTGTATTTCTTCTGAGTGGGTTTTTTGGCGATATCATTTTGGCTGACAATTCAAACAGCGTTGAACGTCTACTGATGGTGTCAGCGCTCGCCCAGAAATATCTGCACCTGCCATACTCTTTGCTACCACTTCCAGTTGTCTTCTCAATGAAACCAGTTATCGCGTCGACTCAACAACAATAGGGCACCGACAACAGCACCGATGAAGGGAACTTTAATTCAGATGTCTCCTATGGAGAAAAGCGGAAAGTAGTCCGCGTCACGTTTACTCGGACGTACAATACACGCACAGAACGCTGACATTTCTTGTCGCTTATACCTCGATGAGCTTGTCTCATGCTTTCGTTCTCGATTTATCGCTCTTTCAGTACGTCCGCCAAATCTCGGAATTAGGATCCCGTATTAACATGTCCGGCAGCGTTTAAAAAGGCCGCTGAAAACGAAGATACGGTATGTCCTTAGCTCAGCCGCTAATTTCCGTTAGTCCGTTAGATCGACACCGTGCACTGCGCTTTCATCTAATACGCAAGTAACTGCAAACCACGTTGAACATTGGACCGTTGCTGAACTTCCGTACACCCAGCAGAGCTATCATACATATCCAACAGGAAATGTTGCTGCTCAAGTATTCTCTTGTTTCCTGTTGTCGGCTTGTCCTTCGGAAACCGCGCAGCAACATCTCACGTTCTCCTTCTTGCCCGCCAAATATTTAAATTTACCTTCAACCTGATATGAAAAAAATTGAACTGTAGAGGGTGTGTGGAAAGAGCAGGATTTATCGGTAGTGAGGGATGAATGATTTTCGAGAACCACAGTGTCTGATTAGATGGCTTTTGACGGAGCACGACAAGAGACTCTAGGGGACTTCAGAGGTGACCGCTTGGCCCACCACGGTAGGTAACTTAATCGAAGGATCAATGACGGGCAAAAAAGAGTGTTGGACGCACCTCTCCGTCCTAGAAGGATGGAAAAGGGGTTCACTTTCCCAGTTAAAGTGGAGAATCATTCTTACGCGATGGTCTAGCTGCTTTTTGGTCCACTACTAGTAGTTGTAATAGGAGCGAACTCACGCAGCGGACGAAATGGGGGCGGCGGTGAAACGGGGAATTGGGGAAAAGCTGATGCTACAGCAAGTACTGCACGAGTGCCGCTAGTATACCTGCAGTCGTAGTAGTGTATTCAGCAGTTGGGAAAGGTGGAGAAAACGCCGGTGCTGGCGCGTACGTGAACCATAACTGCATTACGCTCTCCTGGGATGACGGGCTATTCAAACACATGTTCTTTTGATTGCCAAGGTCCAAAGGACGTGCCATCTCCTTATTGAGTTAGCCGTCTTTTAGCTGCTGCAGCAGCTGCTACTGCTTCTGCTTACTGCTCAGATAGAATGGCAGACAGAGAAACAAGCGGGAACATGTACGTACTGACAAGCGCCTTCGTTGCTTGGTTCCTCTTTCCTTTCCTCCAGGACTCCCCTCTACTTTTTTTTTTCTAGTCTTACGTGTTTTCGAACACGGCCTTGCGCTTCTAGTATGCCGTTTCCCGCTTTTCTGCTGTAGGGGACAGTGTCTCTCTACTGACATCCTAACGGGGATCCCCAACAACCACCAGCCCATCTTCCCGGTCTCTCGTTGCCTAGAAATGGCACCCCATCCCATTTATGTCTTAAACGGACGCACCGAGAAGTGAGCAGTATCCATTGGCTTCTCGCAGAAGCACCACCAGCACGCTCATAGGTAACACTTAAAAGTTCAGGACACTGCTCTCTAGCCTCCTACCTGCGTGGTTGGTTTCCTGGAGCTATACTTGAAGCGAGCCCGGTCTAAGTAAATCCTGTAAAGGCCCATACTTGTGCTTGGCGTTCACTATCAAACCGATCCTGCTTACTTGTTTGGGCCAAGTCATATACCACAGCACGGATCGCTGAACGACCTAGTTCGACGGATGGTGTTACGTGTAATATATAGCACGGTTCACCTAAAATGGCACGAGGCATCGCAGAAATGCAACCGCATGCATGCCAAGCAGGACATGCGAGAAGGAACGGTAGAGGGACACTATCAAATACCTTGAACGAACCTGGCGTGAGCAATCCACTGTTACTTGAAGCTCACTGTTGCCGCGTGTTCTAGTAAAATACACTAAAAAAATCGAAAAGCCGATATGGCCAGTTGCGTTTTTTTGAAATGTTCATAAACGAAAATCGAGTTAACTCACACGAGTTTTTTTGATGCACAAAATTTGATTTAGCGAAAAGCCATGCATAAATATTCCAAGTATTTAACATCGAATCATTTAGTAGTAAAAAAAAGCCTGCGTCACCCTCGGATGACAATCTCGATTGCTTTTTCTTGGCCCCCTGCTTGCTCGTGACCCACACGAACGAATTACTGCTATTGTTCATAGCACTGTGATCGCTACTCAGAAAAGCGTGAAACGACGTGTATACGTCTTTCTATAGGTACCACATGCGTCTATAGGTGCGTATGTGTCTCTGCATTTCTCTGCTGTCTGCTTGGGGTGCTACCGTCCTTCTTGAAGAAGTCACAATGTGGCAAGGCGACAGTATGACCCGAGCTAGTCCGGAGACAGAACTCAATCTGCGCCTGCGGCTCCAATCGGAAAACCATTTGAGGTTCTTCCGTATGCGGCATACCTCTTGTCCTGACAATCTGCGTGGGTTAGAGGTTTAAAGGGGAGGGTGTTATCGTGGTGGCAACTGAAGGAAGAAGGGCTTTTGTCTGCTTTACTTTTGCCTGTGCCCACTTGCTAGTCTTCTCGCCCGCGTTCTCCATCTGTCGAGTCTTGTCGAGACTGACTGACTAAACTTTGTACTAACAGAACGATTGCCGCCAGGGTAGTTGGAACAAACCGTCGATCTTTTCTGTGTAGGTTTTTCCGGCGTTACCACCATTACGTTAACTGACGCAACGCAAGCGAGGACGCGGCCGCGGCTACTTGAACAGGCAAGTAGCAACGTTCGCCGACAAAGCAGACGCAGCGGCTTTACCGTTGAGACCTTAGTAGGAAGTGAGTGACGGCTGTATCGACGGGAACAGCTGTGACACTGGGCGCCATTGAACCGCCACTGGAAAGAAGACAGGACTAACTTCAAGTCAACGGACAGCGCATAGGGTGGTAAAGAGGGGTCGGGTAAGGAGCGACGGAAATTGGAGTATGTTAGGGGAAAGGGAGAAACTTATTAAAACGACGTAGAAAGTTGAAACTTTCTTTTGCCTTAGACTCTTTTTCGCCCTCGCGCCACCGTTTTCGACGCTCTCTGCCCATTCGCAGCTATTTAAGGCTGCTGCTGCCTTGCGTGGTCCCTCGAACCCCGTCTTCTCCAGTTCTCTTCCCTTTGTACGTGTCCTAGCGTTGCACTGGAGACTTTTCGGTGAAAGGCAGTCTTCAGTACTCCTTCGCTGTTGTGATACAGCGACAACATTTGCGTCAGTACCGAGCAGAACGAGAAAACGATTTTTACCGTTCGACGGGAGAGGCAGAGAGGACAGGAGTGAGCAGTTTCATCTGGTGCCCTGAAAGGTCGTTAGCCAGTTATCGCCGTAGTGCTGCTGAGTCAAAGTTGCTCCCTCTAAACTCGTAGCGGACCCTGTGCGTGAATGTGGGTACTAAAGACCTGGACGTCTTAACCTGGGCGACTTGATCATCCGAAGAAAGATTCGAAGCAATCGAACGACGTATATAGCGAGGCCCCTGTAGCCTCTCCTGGCTGGTTTCTTGGTTGGTTCCTTAGCCTCACAGCTTTCAACAACAGTACTATCTTGAAGTTATTTAATAAATACGCTTTACGACGGTTCTTCGGTGTTGCATTGTCATTTATGACAATTATATTAAATCATCAGTCGTATAAATAAATTCTGCTGTAGTTATATATATAGCTCATTTTTCATTCAAGTGACTTCCTATCGACTACAGCATCTGAAGCTAAATTAGTTTGCGAGCGAACGATTGGAGCAATGGCGCGTTTTCGCCTGCGTGACTCGCAATCTGGACGAAAACTCGTTCGCTTTGGTGACGTCAAAGCGCAAACGCTGCCTTTTAACGTAATACATGAGCGCACACTTGCGTAGGATTGACGGTCCTTTCGTCTCTGCCGGCGGCATGATTTGATTTATGACCTTTGCAGGCGACCAGAGACTGATCTGTCCCCTGCATCGATACCAGCATCAGTGATAGCCAAGGAGGGCAAGTGGATTATCTCGCTTCTCCATTTCGAAGCTATCAGCTATGTCCGTCCGTAAGTTGAATTTGATAGGAGCGAAAAAATCTGCATTAGATTAAAATTGCAACTCTGTGGTAATAACGCACTGCCCCGCGTTCTGCTAGCTTCTTCCGTTTCTTTTAGTGTATGATTCTTGCTTCTTGTATATTTGCTGCTGCGGTATTTGGCACATTCGCACAATACGATATAGCCGAATGAGACTAGGTCGCCAAATTTATAAATAACAAAGAAAAATAGTAATAGAAAAAGAAGGACGAGTTGAGGTGGCAACTTTTCGAGAGTGAATAATAATCGTAGTTTCGGCTCGCGGGGGGGACGATATAGTTAGAACCTGCTAGTTGTTAATATAAAGTATGGGTAGATCGATGGAGATCGGTGTGACGAGGGATCGAACGCCGGGTTTAATGGGGAGACTAATGCTCGTTTAGTCTATTCGTTATGTATATATATCATATTTGCTGCTGGTATTATGAGTTTCTTTGCGATTGTGTTTCTAGCGCCCTGTTAATACGTAGCGCCATGTCGTATCATTACAATTGCAGCCCTACGAAATAGACGACGAACGGAAGAAAGCAGGTCCTGATCGAATGGTTTCGACATGGTAATGTCGAACGGTCATGTCTACGTTATTAATTGCTGTTGTACATGTTGCCGTTTCATCTGTAGCGGCTTCTGGCACCCTATGAGGACGTGGTCAAGGTGCTAGGGGAGAGGCGGCGATGGGCCTGCAGTTACGATGACGCCGACGTTTTCCAGACAATACATTAGTTTGGTTGCAGCTTTTGTTACTGCTGGAGCTGTATTCACGATCAACTGGATAGACTCTTTGAGCTGATTTGTATGCCATCCGCATTAGGTGAGGTTCGTTTGGAAAAACGAGTGAGTCTGGCCGACGATTTCAGCCTCTTTAGCAACTTCTGAATAGCCATGGCAGTCTGTAGCGGGAGAATCGTTTTCTGTCGGACCTCGTCGGCCGATCGGTTGGTCTTCATCGCCGATCGCAGCACTGTGATCTGTTGGGTGTCATACGAACACACGCAATATACTGAAATGTACACACACAAAGATGTGTGCAGTAACGCACACGGGAGTGGCCAGAGCTTCGCTTCGGCTCGCCAAACTTTTCCGTTAAGACTAGCGACCCGCTTAAAACGAGCACGGCTGATGCGTAGCTTGAAATGCAGCTGGAGCCGGCGGTGCAGGATTCAGCTATTTGAATAGGTAAACGCCAGTATGTGTACGTTAGATGTACTTTTCTCCATACATAGACATCTACTCATCAATCATTTTGCTGTCTACGGCTGAACAGTTCTTCAGGAAGACCTGCTGGAATGGTGACGGGACGGGACAAATAGATCGTCGGTTTGGGCCCGGCCAAAGTTCTGTATTGCACCATTCATCGGTCAGCCGAAGCCATCAAAGACATAGTTGCTGGTCGGCAATGGGATCGACGGCTGGCTCGATGACGAACTCATCGGGTACGGACAGCGGCAGGTTGCACCAGATTACTGCGAGAGCGCAGTGCAGTTGTGGCCAGGAAAAGTTTTACACGCATCTATTCAACTTTTTGGGTCAGTCAGTTTATGAGATATTTGACCCCCGGCTTTCCGTTTTTTACGTACTTTGGGTGTAACTGCATTATAAGACCAAGACTACTGAGAAGTCCTGATCAAAGTTTTCACGTTAACAAAACTCTCTTGTTTGCTCGTCGCAATCTTGCTACCGTTAGAATTGAATAAAACCGTTGGTTGAAGTTATTCGACGTTGTGTGAATCGACGTCTACAACCTTTTTTAGCTTGTTTATGAGGTGCCTTTTGTGTATAGTAGGAGAAAGTCAGCAACAACGTCCGAACAAAGCCAATGGAATCCTTTGCAGCTTATTACCGATTCAGGTGGTTTAGGCTGCCGAGCGATTGGCTGCAGGTAGCTATAGAGGCTTAACAACATGGACGAGAGTTGCTGCTGGTATTAATGTTGCTATTGTTGACAACAGCTTTGCCCGATAGGTCCTCTCATGCCGCTGTCTTCAATGCTGTTCTGCCGTGTTATTGATGCATTGGGCGCTCTTAAAACTGGCGCGAAATTCTGAATTAATTCGCAGTTATTAATTAGGAGAAAGAGCTGACAGGATTCAACTTCGTTGTCTACCTTATGCACGACGTGTTTCGATCGGCCATGGCCAGCTAAAGCGTTTCAGCCGTCGGTGCAGCGACGACGGTCATTTTTTGTTCTGTCCGTTCACAAAGATACTCGCCTCGAGCTCACCGGCCTGAGTCAGGTAACCAACTTGCTTAAGGTGCGGTAGACCGGAGTATGATGGGCTATCGGAAGAGGATAATGAGGAAAATCCGACTATGGACAAGTCGTTGTTTACCGCAACTGACAACAATGAAGTTGCGATTAGGCAGGCCGCAGACACAGGCAGATACACAGAATTATATCAGCATTAATAAATGACTAGTACTGCCTTGTGCTGCTGCTGCTGCCGCTGCCGGAATATGAACATGAAAAAGACGAAGATGCTCTAGCGTCCCTTTATCGTCAGTAGCACTGTCGAAACAGCGGCATCTTCGACAGGGCCGGCTTGCAGTTGTCCTGGCAGTGGCGATGGAGCCAGTGCAGGTGCAGCTATTGCCGCGTCGCTTCGGCGTGTACTTCGTCCACAGCGCAAACCGACGTCTATTCAAAAATCTCGCACCGCACATTGGCAGCCGCTGTTGACTTCAGTTCCTGATCGTCCATCGGCCACCGCCGGACTGTGCAATGCGACGGTTGGACGCTGCAGTGCAAAAAGCCGATCGACGAGACGATACGCACCACTGCAACAATGACCGGTCATATAACGAAGCCGTGCCCTATCCTTCACAACGACGACATCATTCAACGATGTGCTTCGGCTCGACAATGTTTTCGTCGACCGTGCGTTGAAAACAGAAGACGCCTTCCCGTCTGGCCTTTATTTTCTGTTGCTTGGCTAAAACTCTGCACGTCTTGGTACGTACACACACACACACACACACATACCCGTACGCATGTGCAGAGTCGCGTACGCTCTCCGCTCACGCATGTTTCTTTTCTCTACGCACTTTCTTTTTCTCTGTTACGGCGACCCGCTCCGAGGATCTTGCGCCGTCGCTTTACACCCTTCGTCCGTCGTGTTTCCCGTTAATGAGCAGAATTCTTCGGTGGCAGCAAACACAACAACGATGACAGCAGCGGTTTTTCTTCGTATTAAACATAGTTGGTTGGCTACGTAATCTACCGGAGTGGTGTGACGCGACGCAATGCCACTCAGTCTCATTCTCTTATTGCGTCCACTCGGATCGATGCTATTTTGTTGCGGTAAAAGCCGCAACTACTCTCGCTTCGAGAGATTTTTCGGTAATCTACCAAAAATCGAAAACAGCTGAATATCATCCTAGCGCTGTCGAATACGGTAGCAGAGGGCAGAGCGACCGTCAGCTTTGCCTCTTTCTGTATCGGAGCGCGTAGTGAACGTTTAGCAGCGATATCTGTGTAGCCCGATATGGACGGGCAGCATCCTGTACAGCGTTCCGTGCTATTGCCAGCTAGTGAATATTTGTCCCATTCTTCGGGAGATAGAGACTGTACACCTTTGTATTTTTTCGTTGTCGACATCGTGTACACGTTATCGATAGCGGCCGAATGATTCGTCTGCATTTGATATCATAGACGCGAACAATGACGGCCGGCAGCGACACTACGTTTCGGTACGAATGATGTGGCTAAGCAAATCGGAGTGCTACCTGATCAAAAAACAATTCAACGTAGCAATCGATGTCAAATGCCGTGAAACCATGACGAGAAAATTGACGGACAATTAATAACGAATAATAGTTACGCCTGGCCAGCTATAATCACCATTTCCGTGCGGAGAGATATTGTACCTTTATTGATCATCAGCATGCTTCTTAGCGTAGGCTAACTGTTCGATGATATTCTGACTCTATATATGGTCCACCATTCAGTGTGTGTTTAGCTTAGCTCAGCGTTCGTCCTACGTAACTTTGAATAAAGTTAACGCCTAGCATAAATGGCTAGAGATTTACCTTAGAAGGTGATCGTATTTTTTTTCTGAGAAACGTTCGATAGTTTAGCGAGCACGTACCACAAAACAGTTTTTCAATGATACCACATGAGCAGCATCAGCCATGACAGTCGTCATAGTCGGATATAGGCTCTGGTGGTAGCAGTCCTATTTAATCGATCGCATTAATAAAACATCGATGGACGGAAACTAATGGTGTGACTCTTGCTTTGCCCAATGCCCTTTAGTTTTTCTTGCACTCCCTGTTGCTCACCGCTGTTAACTGCTTGTTACGTCGCTCCTTTTTTTCCGAACGTGTCGTTTGTGCTCCTGACTCTATTTTTCGCGACTTTGCTCCGTGGTTTTGCCCGCTGTTGTTCATGTACACGATGCTGTCGATGTGAACAGCATCGGCATTCACCGTAATAGCAGCTGCCGATATGACGCAGACGTAGGCGTGGGTCGTTGTCATTGACGGCTGGTTGTGGACATCGTCATGACGATCCATCACAAAGGTGCGAGGGAGCAAGACTTGCCAATGTCTGTCAACATTAGAGCCGTTCGTGCTTGACTGCCATACACTGTCACCGCCGATTCCTGCCGCAGGTTATCGTGGCGGCAGTAGGCCGACGCGACGTGGATGCGAGTCTCCCTTCTCGCTGACGACGGATCCTTACAAACAAATTGTCATCGTAAAGAAAAAGAGGCAAAGGGCGACGACTGGAGCAGTAGTGGAAGGGCAATGGTTGTAACTGAACAACGTCGAGTTTCTTGCGAGTAGCGACGCAAGAGGTCGAACGGGCAGAGGGACCGAGCTGGACACCTCTGATACTGCGGTTGTCTCAACGCTATAACTAACCGGTTCGATGATTCGCTCCACAGTCCGCCTTTTCTTCTACATATACGATCGCAACTGTTTGGTTATATTGCCGTTTCTGCTCTTCTGAATCGTAGCTGAAATAAGTTAATCGACACACACACACACACACCGGAAGCGTTGTTGCGGCGGAAATGGTGCCGGTAGTAACAGAAGGACGCGTCTTGAAGTGTCGCGTGTTACGGTCTTGATGTTGCAGTATTCTATTATCAGGTTCTAACTCGCATACAGAGACTTGTACTCGGTTTCGTTGAACCATTGTTTCACTGAGTAATGGAAGGCGTAAGCGCAAAAGTCCGCATTTGGAAAAGGAACCGCACCTTCAGGCTATTTAATCAATCTGATGGGTAGTGAGCATACGAATGGCAACAAATGGACAGACCATCTGAAGAGGTTGCTCCCCGAAGAAGGTCCCAGGTACTCACGCCGATCCCCGCTGTCTGCTGGTGTGTGATCTGCGCATGCATTGGTGCCTGTTGTTGGTTGAACAGCACCGACAAGCGGCCTTAGCGGCGATGGCAGCGTCGGCCAACTCTCTCATTTGCGTATGCATGGGCACATTCGCTGAGGCAAGCCCGCACATTAAGGTAGATGTACAACTGGCCCGCGTTTTGTCGCTCTTTACAAGTTGATACGAATGAACTGTAGACTGCAAATCGAGTGCACGAGCCGCGGAAGGTACCCCGACTTCTCTGTCCGTCGCACTAGTTTTCTCAACTATGAGCTGGACAGAGCGGAGTAAAGGCCCGCCTAAATACATCTGTTAATATATATGAAATGTCTATTACGAATGCAGTGGAACGTGGAAGAACAAAGGCGATTCTATGCGACAGATCTATACGTATATGCGGAACGCGTTTTCGCCAGACTGTATTTATTACGTTTACTTGGGTGTATTTGTGTGTGAATATGTGTTAATACTTACCTTCAATGCGTATAGACTATCCAGTAGGGTATTAAGACGCATTGCGCATCTTCACCGATAAGCTGTTTTCGTTGCTGACCGACAACAACGCGGAACGTTTTTTCCGACAGCATTCCTTCAAGGGTCGCAGCGACCCAAAGCGCCGCAAGGTGAACAGGGCGCCTATAAAGGAATACAAATAATTGCAAGGGTTTTGTAATTGCGCTTAAAAATCATCAAACAAGTGCTACCATAACTAATACTAAGAGCTAAAAAGCTATTTCTACAGAGTGGTGTTGAATAAGAGAATGAATACAGATTAGAGCGAAAAAGGCGCTTGTTCAAGGCGGCGGCGAATCCTCGTCTCAGTGCATTAGGGCGCAAAGAACGCGGATCGTTCTGGCCTAGCAATTAAGCTAAGCCCGCCTATATTTTGTGGTGCAGTACATACGGGACCTGATAGAAAATTGATGACAACCGGCAGGATAGGCGACCTAACTCCGGAGGAGGAACCGGGCAAGCTAAACGGCTGGTGAGGAACATGACAGTATCGAAACGGATTCGGTAAATGAGAGCTTATGGATGAGAAACAAGACGGTAGCTATGGCTATGAAAGTGGCGGAAGGCTCAAGAAAATGGGGTAGTAATATTATAAAAAGGACGGTAATTTTTTTCTGCTTTGTTCCGTCAGTGAATGTTGATCGGACGACAGGCCGGCATCGGTTGGCTGTTGGGTGTATGATGTCCTAATTCTGCTGTTTTTGGCGAAACCTTCAGGGAAAACAGACTGACGGACTTGTTAAACTATTGCTACTGCCGTTGCTGTGGCTGCTCCAGCAGCAGCACTAGAAGCGTGTTTTTCTGCCAAAATAAGCGAAGGTAAAAAGAAAAAGAAAAAAGAAGGGTAAATGCATGAGGGCCGATGCGATCAGGAGGTAAGGGTGGTGGGTATAATGGATCAGAGGCCGGTCGGATTTCGGGCGTGGTCAACACAAGCGGCAGGTGTTCTTGGGCTCAATTTAAAATTGGTCCGTTGTCGGTTGCGCAGCAGGGCACAGCAGCCATAGTGGCAGCCGCCCCAACGACAGCGACGAAAATTGAGGTGTCGGCGGAAGCTACTGCTGCTGCTACAGCGGCTTGAATCTCGAAAGGCGCCAGCAGTAATAACGCAGGTAAGAAAGAAATCGCACTCGTGCTAGCCGTCTTACGAAGAGGGCGATATATGAAAGCATCTAGAGGAAAAGAAAGAAGTTAGCTTGGAATTAATCAGTGGCTTACCAGAGGATCAAGGTGCGCTGCCGGGGCAGCCTGGCTGTAGGCAGCAGCGGTTTTCACTGCTTCGACGGCTGCTGCAAATTAATTGACATGTATGTGCGACGCATGCCATAGCGCTCTCACTTACTCTACCTCGCTGACTCGATGTGAGAAGGTCCTTTTCACCCTCGTGTGGGGGGCAAACGAGTAAACGGGCCAACACTGAACGAGCCGTGTCGATGCTTCTGCCAAAGGTTGTCTTCTGTATTCTCGCTCTTTACCTTCTCTTTCGTTCGCTACTAGTTCGTTAGAATGCGTTTTTGTACAGACGGTCGAACCGAAGCTGCATTCACCGCGATGTTCGTCCAGGTTCTCTAATCTCTGTTTAAGCTCCCTCTCGCCATTCGCTTTCCCTCGGCTTCGCTTTTTGGCTCTCGCTTAGTACTAAAGCTTCCAAAGTTCAGAGTTTGTCCTGCAGTTAGGTCTGCTCTTGTCCGTTCTATCTTCTGCTGTTGGGCGGCACCGAATGAAGTCGTGTGATGGGCGGGGTGCAACCTGGCCCAGGTCCTAGTTCAGGCCCGTCGACAGCATGACGGTATGTATGCCTCTATAACGAAGCAGGAATTAAGCGAATAGAAAAGAAAAAAAAGAATGAGGGGGACCTATCGAAAACGTCCTATTTAGCTGCAGCTGACGTAAGCTTGTTTTTTATAGTGTAACGGAAGACAATGAAAGGCGGTGATATATTTCCAACTGCGCGAGAAAGAAAAGTACGCGGCCATTAGTTAGCATATGCTTGCAGTACTAACAAGCGAAATCGTTTTCGTCTTTTTTTTTTTTCGTTCCAGACGAATGATCGGTTATATTCAGTTATCCCGTGTCATGTCGGTACAGGGGTAGATCCATCGCTAACAACAATGGGTTCATTGGGTACCCTCGGTGGACTAGGTGTTCAACCTGGTCACCCGGGCCATCCGCATATCTATCACACACTCGGACGGCCGGTTCCACCAGTGCCCCAATCGAAACGCAAGACGCGGCTTAAACCCATCCTAATCGTCGTTTGTGCAACGTTTTTTGTCATCGCCGCCATTTCAATTGCGCTTGTCGCCTCACTATCCGGTAAGTACAAGTTATCAATAGTGCTCTTGAAATTCATAGTTCTTCAAAGATCTGCTTAAACCTTTCAAAAACACTTCCGTCATAATCGTACCTACAGAGATAAACGTACAATGAATGGGCGTATCACATACGCATGAGCTACGGGCAACCGTAGTCTCACGTCTCGTTTAAACGAATATACGCTTCATTAAATCCTCGTTATAGGTAGGCAAATATGTCTAGGATTTTACCTTTTATAAAATAATGCCGTAGTAGGCAACAATGACTTAATGTAGACCTTATGTTAAACGAGCAGGATGAAGTGTCTTCCATAATGAGTGTATCGCTCTGTTCGACATCTAATTAAGAAATACTGGCTTGAAGCACTGGTGCTAGCGAAGCCTACAAAAGAAAATAGTATCTATCGGTGTATATTCATCATGCATGATCCCAAGGAGCTAGGTCTCTCCCGACCACCTTACCCCGGATGCCAGCTTCTATCACATTCCCTTACTATTTTCTATATCTGAAAGTAACCTGGTTCGTGAGGAGGGGCACTAGTGCTGATGCCTCCACCGCTAGCGCAACTCGAACATAGCTCTAGATCTAGTAATGTTCCCCTCCCCTTTCTCCCGTTCCCTTCTGATCCGGGCGAGGTCGCTCCGCTGGCCGCTCGCTATCCGCCTACTCTGAGCCACTTGACTCGATAGCGAACGGTAGTGTCGGGTAGTGAAACGCCACCGTTGCCAGCAGCTGCGAGTCAGCTCACGAAAGACTCGAAGGGAGTTAAGTGGTTTCGATTTTGAGTTTGTCACTCAATTCACACTCAATATACTCCCAGACCTATATCATGTCGTCGTCACTTCAGTTCCCTGTATTCGGTTACACTGATATTGTTCTCGCCCGCTAAAGGGTAAGCTTGGAAAAGGGCTCAAGAACTCGCGATTGAGAAGTCGGTGAGAGTCAGGAGTATCGTTGAGGTATCAGGAGGTCGAGGATAGCTTTCCCCGTTAGCCATCTTTAGCGGGAACTCTGTAAACTCCTTCTACCACTATTATTAGGGGCTTCAGGATATACAGTGCAAGAGTTTACAGACCCACCAGCTTGTCGGTGAGGGAAGAATGTCGGGTGCAAAGTGCAATTTAAGTTGACGTAAAACCCCGGTTTCTCTAGAGGGCTACTCCCACTTCCTTCCCATGTCGCTTTGTGATCCGGTCGATTTAGTGACCGATGCCAAGCCAAACAAGGGGAAATTGGTGTGACCGTTGGCCTTGCCGGCACATCATCCATCGACCCATGCCGCCGTACTGTAGGTAGAAGCAGAAAGAACAATCTGTTCAAGCTGGAAATAGCAGAGTTTTCCCGGCCATCATTGTCTGATGTTCAAGATTGTACTACTATGTAACAATTCCTGCTATCGCGTGTATGTAAATGGATGGTTTGCTTTGTGTGCTGGTTTACCACCAGCAAAGGCACAATGGCATTAGATTTAGTTCTTATCATCGTCATGGTCATACACAGCAGCAGCAGCAACAGCAGCAGCAGCAGGACCAACATCTTCGTTGTCATCGTTATGGTGCCTCTTATTAAAAGCGTCAAAGTCTTCCTCCAACTACAACAAAGTCATCATGATTGCGGTGTCTTGACATGGGAGTGGTCGATTTAGCCGCGTCAAAGTAGCTTTTATTGTTCTCCGCCTTGTACCCAAGCGTGGATTTTCAGCGTCTGCTTGCTTGAAGCGCTTGTTATTTTCTCGTACCCCCAACCATCCGTCCAGTGTAGAATCAGGACCTCTCGACTTCGGTCAACACGAATGACTGTGTATGTGTGTGCAAAATGTGTGTTGCGGCTAAAGAAGTCGTCACTTTCGCTGAGGCATGAGCACTTGAACGTCGCCAGAGGGCACCGCGCTTTATGAGGTTTTCCGATGGCCGTCAGTCATCTGGCCACCCAAAAACCAATGTGTCTATCCTTATCGAGTGGCGCTGCTGATGCTTTTGCTCGTAGCTGTAGTTCCCCAATTTAATCACCTGAGTTATAGCCATCTTCATTTTCGTTAACTTCTGTCCGTCCTTCGTCAGCTTAGCTCGATCTTTTTTCTTTTTTTTTCGTTGCTAGCTAGGAGCGACCGTTTTAGCGGTACCGCGATGCCTCCAGCCGTTCTGTTCACGACGGCTGCTGCTGTTATTTTAAGTTTCTATTTTCTTGTTACTTCTTGTTGCTTGGCAGCCAGTGTTCGCCGGAATCTTGGATTTCTTTTTGCGTGGGTGCCCCAAATGCCGCCTTTGTGCAGGGTCAGTGCGACTGCATCAAAAGTGGCTGAAATAAATGAGAAACGAAGCTGAGGCAAAGCTTCTGCTGGCGCAGTACTCGCCACCACTTCAGCGACAACAGCAGCTTATGAAACTCGCCTCGCTTATCTCTCGGCTCGGCTATTCATCCATCCATCCATCGTTCATCAATGGACTCTATTGGACCACGGTTTATCATTATTATTATTATATTAAAGCTAGCTAATGTTAGTTTTTGCGTCGGCAGCGGATACTGCACCGGTCTCCACCGCCGTAAGTCAATAGCTGATGTCGATGGACTGAGTAATGTTGTTTCGGCTCCTCGGCTGTCTTACCGAAGGAGCGAACACGAGTGTTATAACAAAGCCGTTTCAAGAACAAATAAAAGGCCAGCTTACCTTTTGACAGCAATAACAACACGCTGTCTTCCGCGATGCGGCTGCAGTAGCAGCAACAACAGTATTCATGTAATAACAAAATGACATATCATGTCCACTGTCCTGTACGGTGGAGCTGCTGCCTTCTCTTCTAGCCAACAAAATAGTCCGTCTGGTCGTAGCCCTACGCCGTGTTCGTTGTCGTCTCCCGGTGGTACAAACGTCGAGACGTCGCACGTACAAAAAAGTACAGCGCAGCAGCTGTACCTTGCTAGTGACGCTGCCCAGCGAAAGGCGACCGCTACCACTTGGCCAGACAAACTGAGAGGCAGGCAAACAAACAACGGTTCGGCAATATGTTGCTAGGGATGTGAGAAAGGTGTTTGTCCGATAGATCCGTTTCAATGTCAATGCATTGTTGAAGCTGTCAATCGAGTGTCCGGAACCTTCGTAGTTGTGTGAAGCTGAAACCGGCCAATCGGCCAGTGACTCCGCAATAGAGAGATTGCTGCTGGCGGTTCCAGCTTCTTTCGGGCGGGTGGCGTCGCTGTTCGCTGTGCCAGCTTCTTTTAGAAAGTCTTCGTATTCTTTTATAACACGGCGTGCCAGTCCTTCACTATCAGGACAGACAGAACAGCAGAACTTCGTACCCGAACGCTAGAGCTCTAGCACAAGCGGTACGAGTGTGCAGAACGTCGGGTCTGTTTGGAGTTAACAGAAACGTTAGCTAAACTGGATTTCGTGGATGCCATCGTCGGCGTCTGGCATCGTAGCCTCGTCATTATAGTTCTGCGGCTACTGCTGTCCTCATTACCGCAATAGTCGCAACCACTGCACGCGCCCTCCCGATCCAACAAAGAAAAGTATAGCAGGAGACAAGTGGTAAATAAAAACATCTGTTGTGTCAAGTGCCGCCCATCTGCCACGGCCACGGCCGAATCTCTAGCTGATTATTGCTCGCGGCTTGTCACGTTAGGGAACTGCTGTATCTAACATTAGTCATCGACACCAAAGCTTGAATGACAGTCCCCACATCGAATTCGAACTAGCTTAAACGAATATGCGCAACTCGCTGCTGGATGGCAAAGTTTAGGTGGACGTCATTTCGAGCAAACTAACCTAATTACTATAGCCGCGTCGACGGTGACGGCAGCAGTAACGACGGCGGCACACGACACGCGGATTGGTGCTGTTATTTACAAGACTTTGCCCTCTCTGCCTCGAAGCCCCGTTTAAAGGGTGTGGATAAATGAAAAGCACGGAGACGGGCCGGGAGAGAGAAAGAGACCACCACAGGCATAGATTGTTCCACTCGAATCCTTCTGCTGCAGTCGAAACGAAAACCGCACGCACGCTGCTGTTGCTGTTGCTGCTACAAAAGGGTCCTGTTCTTCTGAAAATAGCAGCCCGCAGCAGCACCAGGCCGAAACAAATAAGTGGAAATTGGCACACATTTCGGATTGTCAGCATGCGTCGCCTCTTTCTGCTTGCTGCCCGCCCGACTGCTGGCTGGTAACGTACAATTTTCCCTCTACTCAACAGAAAGTCATGCGGCGGCACGAACTGTAGACGCGCCCCACAGACTGTTCTGTTCCGACGAAAGCATCCATCCTTCCTCCTATGGATTGCCCGCCCATCCAACTGACCTTGTTTCTCGCTACTCGTATCTCTCTCTAGTCTTGTGTCTACGAGCCAAGCTACAGGTTCCCCCACCGCCCGCCCCTACTTGTGCTGCCTTGTTGCTACGATTACAATTGTTCCGCTTTTGTTGTTCATTTCCTCGCGTGCATGCACGCTCTTTTGTTTGTGTGCGCGGCCTCGCCTTCGCCAGCACTCTGCAGTGATGTTTAGTCTACGTATAACAATAGTCATTGCAGGTTAGTTCGAGATGGCTGCTAGGACCTGGAAGAGGCAAATTAGGTAGCGCACTATGCACAAGCCTACGTGAATATGGGCATCCCTCATTTACCTTTCGCTACGCCGCTTTCTCGCCTATGCACAAGTGTACTGCTACCTGCCGTTTAGTGGTGCATTTAGCCTGCGCATTGTGTCATTATCTATCACTGTAGGGTGCGCTGCGTTGCGCGTCGATAATGGAGATATGGCAGAGAAATGGAGTAGGAGGTGGTAACGATGGTTTGTTTTTGCCGCTAAGGTAAACTCGTGTTTGAGTACGTACTTAGTTATTGCTTACGCGGTGATTATCGTTATCATTTAAATGGTAACAGCAGAGCGACGGCGGCGACGGGTGACAACTGGTGAATAATGACAGCCGTCTGCGACTGTCCTCTTTAAGCGGTTGCAAAAGGCTTGAAACAACCGACCACACTATATATACAAAACGTTGCACGTC